ATGTGACGAAGACCGTATATCTGAGGTGCGGGGCTACTACAATCAAGCCGTGAACTTCAGCACCACCCACGAGCCAATGAGGAATGACGGCGATGCCCCCGGCCTCTCCTTTGCGAAGGCCCACGACAACATGCACAACGATCATCGGGATGGAGTTCGAAATCCTTGTCCACTACGTTTCGGTGATGAGTCTTTTTCATGGGACGATCACTCGCTCGAGGCCTGCCACAGACTCCTTGGAGCGGCGTTCACGCCCAGCAACTCGGCTTCGTTGAGGCCGATTCAACGGAGAGAAGGGGGTGAAGAAGGCGAGCTCTACCTCACCGTCGGAATGTACACCCATGGCGGCGTGCACGGGATCACTCGCGCAACCAAGGACAACGACGCCGTCGTCCGCTACCTCAACCACTTCGGGAGAAAGTATCTCGGCGAGCAGGCTACGTGGTCGTCCATATCCATCACAAAGAATCTTACCTTTTCGGTTTACTGTGGGAAAAAAGCTGAAACTTTTTTATGTGTTTTGGTATAATATATATGCTATATACAATACTATGGTTCGATGGGATGAAAGGGTGAAAGCACCATGGTTGGCAACCAGCGCCACCGCCAATGAGGCCGACCTGGGCGCAAGAAAAAAAAAGAAAAACAGCAGCACAGCCACTAAAGGGTTTACGGATCAGGTTACAGATGAAGCTTTGCTGAGCAATGGTCGCCGATTAAGGTTTGAGATAAACTATAGGGTTCGAGATTAGGTTCTGAGATTTCGGTTCGAGATTAACGTTCGAGATTTGCGTTTGAGAGTGAGGGTTTAGGGCTTAGTGTTTGAAATAGGGTTTTTGAGATTAGGGCTTGAGGTTGAGGGTTTGAAACTATGGCTTGAGTTTAGGGTTTGAGATTAATTGCACTTGGAGCTTGGGTTTTGAAATCAATGTTTCATTGGGGTTTGGGCTTAGGGTTTGGCATTGGGCTTTCAAAGTAGATTGAACTTAAAGGTCGAGATTAAGTCAACATTTGTGAAGGCATTGTGGAAATTGCGGAGCTTCTGCCTGCAGTGACTGAATGCATGCACCGCCCTGGTCTTGTTTTCGCCGTATCCACTGCACTCGCTTCAGCCGCTGCCGCCGGCCCTTCCGCCGCTGCTGCTGCCGCTGCTGCTGCCGCTGATGCTGCCGCCGACCGCCTGCCTGAGCTTCATATGAAATATGACACCGGAAAGTGCCAAGAATTCTGATTGCCATAAAATGCTTCTCAGCAACTGGCTGCTGGTCGTCAACAGATCGAAGCACTTCGGCTTGCGCTTCAAGTCGACGACATCATCGCACAGACCTGAAGGATCCAATCCACGGCACGGCCGAAGAAGTTTTTGATAGGCAGGAAATGGCAGGAAGGACACAATGCTCAGATGCGGCAAAGCAACTTCCCTGGAACAAGTAGCCAATGCCGGAGCCGGGGTACACGGCATGCTTAATCCAGATGCGGTGTTCAAACTGCTCATGTGGAGGCAGCAAACCGCCCCTCGGCGTCGGCCGAGGCAGCTCCGTATCCTCGTCCCACCACGATGCCACCACTCTGCGCTTCGAAGAACTGCTCTGTTTCCAGTGCTTGCCCGTCTGAATTTTCCTGTCGCTCTTGAGGTTGTGACCACGAGTATTTCTCACATCACCTTAATTAGTCCGGAAAGAGAAAGGAGGCAGCAGCCAGCATCCACAATGCTTTGGCTTGAGGTTTTGAAATGCAACCACGGCACAGCCATTGCACAGGGCAGGCGGCTTGCGCCTACTCCCAGCCCCGCAGCCGGGACACTTGTACGGAGAGCTCGGCATCGCACGGGAAGAAACCTGTCGATCCCAGGCAATGACGGTTTTGACAGTGAGGCTGATGATTTGCTGCTTCGGAGCTCTGTGTTTGTCCGCAGCTGAAAATCTGAAAAGACTCGCAGAGACCTTGGTCGAGAGAGATCGTCCCTTGTGCCCGCAATGCTGGGCATGCGAACACATGTGAATCTGAAAAGTCACGGCTTGCCATGAAATTACAAGTCTGATTCTGAAGAGTCACAGCTTGCCCATCACAGCTCAATTCAGCACATGTGTTAATTCGAATTCGCATGCAGCCTGGTGACGGCAGCTTCTCGGCACCCTTGAGACTGGCACCCTTGTTCACGACCGAACACCTGCACATGTTCGAAATCGCAGGACCCCCCTCGGGTCCACTGGACCCAAAGCAACACGTCACATTCTGAGGATTCCTCAGTAAAACAGACTGCTGAATAGGTACCTATGGAACAAGGAACATGAATAACTTTCTCGAAGTGTCTTCTTGCGGCTAGCATCTTCAGAACTATTCTCAGTGCCGGCAGCCCCTCTAGCATACATTGCACCACTCAGTGGGCTGTAAGCACTTCATCGATGAGCCTATCAGATTTGCCGGAAGCTTCAGATGCAGCTAAGTCATCATCGAGTCTATGCATTTTCTTAAGTCACTCTTTCTTGTCACAAAGCGAATGGAGGCCTGGAACCAATGGATTCAACCGTGATGATGAAAGCACAGGACTGTGAATGCTATGTTAAAAACTTATTCTGAACTATGATTCATGTCATAGTTACCTTGCTTTTCGAAACTGATGCATAATTTGTCGTTGCATATCGAATTGTGGTTGTCCTGGTCATGTCGAATTGTGATTGTCCGCTTCATTTCGTTGACGTAAAAAAAAATGTTGACGGCATTTGCGCAATTGAATTGGCCTCGCCGAATGCTGTCCAACCGTCTGGTCGTCATCCGACGGGAGGCTGGGCAACCACAGTTTGGAAGGGTGGAGGGTTTTAGCCTCATATGAAATTGTGATTGTCTTAGGGTTTGCGGGCCCGCTGTCGGAGACCCCTGCCCAAATGTGGTTGTCCGTTGCCTGTTGTCTGTGTCTTTTGCTCATCTCTAAATGTGATTGTCCTACACGGCTCCTGGCGGCTGTGCTTGTGCCCAAACTCTATTTGGAATTGTGGTTGTCTGCGGCCCGCTGTCGGAAGCAATGCCTGGGTCAGGGGGCAACAAGAATGCCGAAAGAGCAGGCCAGCAATGCTTTTCCCAACGGATTCGGGTTTACAGATCAAGGTTTACGGATGCCCAGCCGACGATGGTGCGGAATCTCCAAAGAAAGCTGCACAAATGGATCCAGCTACCCAACATTGCCGCTACAAAACTGCAAGCCTAACTGGCAGACAACCTTTTCTGCATAGGCCCGTGCTCTTGCAGCTGTCATACATCTGGAGTCGACCACTTGGCTGCCCGTGTTTCAAAGGCAGCTGTCGCACACACGGAACCGCACAAAACTGCAGCTGCATCTGCCCGTCCTTCATAAGCAGCTGTCACGCATACGGGGTCCATCTCACGCAGCTCACTTGGCCGCATCTGCACGTGCTGTCCGGCAGCTGTCACACATGCACGTCTCGCAGAAAGTTGGTTTCCGCACCTCAAGGCGGCAGACGCAAGAAGATAGATGCCAGGAGAAGGGCCTTGAATACATGCCGGAATGTGCCGGGCCTTCTTGGCCCCTGGATGCTCAACTCGGAATCTTTTCGCTGCCAGTTTCGAGAGAAGGGATCCTGTAGCCATCGCTTCGGGAAGCTCTGCCAGGGAGCTGCGGTCGGAGGCGACAAGAAAGCCGGACTGCTGCAGGGCGTCCGACATAGCAGGGCTCATCTTTTTCCCACCGACCCATTCGCCCACCACGCAGAAGGATGGCGCTTGCACGAATGCCCACGGGAATCGGCCGTCGATCTGCGCCACCTGCAACAAGACACGTGCTAGAGACGGAACCCGAAGGAAGACGGAAGCCGACCTTGCCGAGGCTCGGCATGTGATTGTCCGCCTCAGCATCCACCCCGTTGATGTAGGACCAGATCATGCCAGCACCTGCAACAAAGGTTGAAATAGATTGGAATGTGCCCCGCGAGCTTCCCCAGCCTTCTGGCACTCGACCGTCGCCCTTCCACGCGGACATGACCAAGGTCGGACGGAGACGGCCGGCGCCGGCAGCAGTCATGCCTGATGCTCCCCCCTTAGGGTCGTAGATAATCTTCACCCGGTTGAAAGCGACGGCATCCTTTGTCTCGCTACGAAGAACATGGCAGAGTCCCTTCAGAACCCTGGGGCAAGAGGTGTTCTTTGGGTTCAGTATGTACTCATCTTTCTTCTCCTTCTTCTGCTTCTTCTGCTTCTTCTTTTTGTCTGTAGCATCTGCCGGCTGATTCTTGTCCTGCTTTTCCCGCTTCTTCTTCTGGACTCCGAAGAACCTGGCAAACCATGAATTCTCTGCCTGTTTGGGGTCAGCTAATCTGGGGGCCCGGGCATGCTCCGCCCCTTTTTCTTGGAACCCAAGGACCTGGGCAAAACGACATTGCAACTCCTCAGCCAGAGAACCTTCCGAGCCCTCCACACATCCACGGGCTCGACCAGCGAGCAGAGGTCCTCTACGAAATCCTGCCACCCGCACGTCGCTCAGAATTGCGCTTCAGGCACGGTCGCCAGCCTTTGTCTTGGACAGAATCGCATCCAGGCGGATCTGAGTAATGTCTGAGACTCGGCGGCTACCTCACGTAGAGATGTGTAATGGATAAGTAGCAGTAAGTAGCAACAACATTGCAGCGATTCCCTCCTGCTTATAAGGCCCTCACGTCTGTTCGAAGCGTCTCCCAGCTGTACAGCTGCCAGGGCCGCGGCAGCTTTCGAACTCATGAGGTTCAGTGCCCTCCGCAAGCAAAGACCCGTATCACAAAAACTTGAGCGGCTGACAAACAACAGGGTGACCAACCATGCCACTCAATGTGTGATTTGCAGCTGCTTTCCCCAGCTTTTAAGTTGTCACCGCGGACAGCAAAGATCGCTGCTTCCTAACTCCGTCCACAGTGGCCCAAAACGGCAGTCACTTGGCTTCGACAGGAAAGATGAAGAACTGATTTCTACGACAGCATGCCTGTGGCCACATGGACTAGCAGGAACATTAAAATTTAGCTCTCGTTGGAGTCGTTAGAATCGGACCCATCCTCGTCGTCATCGCTGGGCGGGAACGCCTTTTCGGCACTTGCCTTCTTAGGCTCGCTCTCAGCCTTGGGCTTTGTGTTCGAGCCGCCCTCTCCGGTGGTTTCGCTTTTGGCAGGCGCCACCGGATTTGATGGCACGGGATTCGAGGGAGCCGGGTTGGAAAAAGCAGTGTCCTTCGCCAACTCCTCCACGACGGAGTTCATGAGCAACTGCATGTGACATGTGTTGCGTAAGATTGCGATGCAGCTCACCTTGTCTTTGACGGCAGCCACCACTGCTGCTGTCTCTGGTGTCCACAGGACGATGGAGTGCAAGCGGAAGGTATGAAACAACTCCCGATAGAGGATCTGGTGTCTGCCGTTGACGTGCAACGGCACCAACTCCTGCATCGCACAACAAGAAGAGCTCTGGCCAAGTAAAAACAGCAGTGCTGCAAGGAGAATGCTCAATACAATTTTCAGTCCTCCTCGCCCACATCATCCGGTACCATGGTGGCGGCACCCGAGATCGGGACGACCTCCTTCTTCTCATTCATGGTCAGCATGATCTGGCTTTTGATTTTCTTTTCGACCATCGGCAGCTGTGCGGGGTCTGGCAAAGGAATCGGAAGCCAGGGGCAGGTGCTGTCTGTGCCTTCGCCGATGAAGCGGTGTTCCCGTGCAATCAGCGGAGGCGCTGCGAAGACCAAGGTTTCCTTGCCCACGATGGTGTTCAGGGAGAAGGCCCGCTTTCGCTTTTTCGCCGGTGCCCTAAATAGAGAGAGAGAGTGAGAGAGAGCGAGAGAGTTTTAGAGAGAGACTTTGAGAGAGTTTGAGAGAGCGAGCGGCACGAAGGATTCTGGCAAGCTACGTGTCCTGGCCACCGGGCCCACACTTGGCTCGCCGCTCAAGGTCCTCCTGGGAGCTGGGCATGAGCAGCAAGGAATTCAGCGTCGCATTGGGCACGTTGAGCTTGTTCATCTGCTTTCGAATCTCACCGTTCGCTTGGCTTGACCCCACGTCGAAGACCAGCAGGGCATCCTGGGCGCTAAAGGCAAGAAATGACGGCAGTCAATATGAATGAGTCCCTGAGACACGTGGGCATGGAACCCTCACGACGCCTTGTCCTCCTTGGCCTGTGAGCCGAAGATCTTCACCACATTGGCCCTTGCAATCCAGCCCACACAGTCGGAATCTGAACATTGCACAAAAACAAAACCCCCCCGTTGCAGCAGAGTCTCAAGACGGATTTGCCGAATGGTGGAGTCCGAGAGTAGATGTTGTGACTCCGCGAAAAAACTTCCGAGGGTTCAAGGATGAGACCACTGTCGAACATCCACCCCCGCACTTTGCCAGCAGATGTCACGCCGTCGGGCGGCAAAAGGCTGGAGGCACAGTCAGCTAAGGCCGTCTGGACACTGCTCAGGTTGGTGATGTCCGCCACCACGAACTTGCAGTACCGCAGCACCTCGACCTTAGCCTTCTGGAGGTCGGAGGCCGGCTTGGGTTTTGGAGGAGGGGCGGCAGGCTCTGCGGCGGGCCCAGACACATCCTTGTCGTCCCAGTCAGCTGACATCTCTTTCAAAATCTCCTCAGCATCAGGCAGGGCAGCAACCGGAGGGAGCGGCGTCAGATGCACGGCATTGTGCCTCGGCTCCAAACAGATTGTGGCCATCAAGAAACACAGAGATTACCATCAATCCTAGAGTTTAGTCCACGTCCAGCGGCTCCTCGATTGTTTTTTTCACCAAGTTCTGGACCCGCGAGTCCGAAAAGCGGTTCACAGCAGTGTCGTGAGAAGCCACCACGGCATACATGGTTGGCAAACAGTCCAAGTCCAAGAACTGCTTCAGCAAAAGCAGGACGGCTGCCTGTTCGGCGGTTTTGCCTAAGAAGGCTTCTTGGTGGATGTCGGCGAAGCCGCCACCCGAAAGCTTGAGGCTTTCCGGATTCACGTAGGTGGAAAGGAGGTCTCTCCACTCCGAAGATTTTTCCCTCTCCGTCGTCGACTCTATGATTGCCTGCAAGCGGTCTTGAGCAAGAGAAATTAAACGAGACGGAGGTTGCTGACCCAGCCCGCCTGCATGCATTGGCGGGTGCAAACCAAAGCCTGAAACGTGTCCAGCAGGTTGTCGCGGCTCATCTCGTTGACGGCAACTCGGAAAGTTTGTGCAGGGTTGTCGCCCTTCATCCCGATATACAGCTGTCCTGAGGACAAAGTTTCAGCGACAATCTTTTAAAGCATGTGGGTGGGGCCAGAATCAGTGTGATGGTGACAGATGCTGAGCTACCGACGAATCACCCAGCCGAACTCGTCGGGACTGCTCGCAATCCCCAGAACCCGAGTTACCTGGGCGTTGCAGGGAAAGGAACCGAGGAGAAGAAAAATCAACTGGTATTTCATAATGGCTTCTTCTTGTAACATGTCCCATGAAAGTATAATCAGATGTTGCTCCAAAACCTAGTAACTACCGACCACCGGCTCGCCCACGTCGGGCTGTTGTTGCAGAACTGCATACTCTTCAGGAACTCCCAGCAGTTGGCCTCCTGGCATCGCTTTCTGAGCCTGAGCAATTTTGCCACCTTGTCTTCGGAGCTGACCTGACACAAAGAGAAACGTCTAGCAAGTCTGTGTGACAGCAGGTGCTTGGCAGCCTCGCTGTCGCCCGAGCCGAACTTCAGCCGCTGGTTCTTTACCTGCTCCTGGCGCCCAAGTGAACGAGGTGGAGGGGGGGGCGAGGAGAGGTGCGTGATCAATGAAACCAGCCCACCTGAAAGGCCAGGAAGAGCCCCTCCGCGTTCGTTGGTTTTCCGAGGCCAGCATGTAGTTGCTGAAGCCTTTGTAGCTCACCCATGATGGCGTATGAAGGACTGGCAAGACAACATAAGTCTGGCGACATGTACAAGCGATCACTCAGACGGCAAGCAAATTGATTCCCTTCCTGGCAGACTGCAGGCTCAAAGATCAAAACCCGCGGCAGCCAGCAGTGACACTTGCCTGGAAAGATGCGGCTTGCACCGTTTCTCCTCTCTTGTGAGATTCCCCAGAAAGCATCCGCACTGTCAGGAGAGCAGCGCACGAAGAGCAAAGGCAGGGCCTCGGTCGCGGAGTGTGGACCGGCAAAGAATGTTGGGGCATATGATTCATGTGACACCCAAGACACTCGCGCTCGCTTCGCGAACACGTCCTTCTTGGGGTCATCGGTTTCCAGCAGGTGGGCCCATTCGATGACGAAGGCCGCCAAGTGCGGCAAGTGGCTCGTTGGAGTGAGCTCTCCCCTCAGGGAAAATCCGAATCTAAGCAACTAAGACTTAAGACAAGCGGCTTGCATCATTCTCACCGGCCTCTTGGTCTCCGCCTGGCAGAGAACCATGGTGCACGGCAAAGGGTCAATGTGGTCCTTTCTGAGATGGAAATCTCGTGCATCGCACATATCGCCCCACGACAGAACGCAGCCCGGGCCGGCTCGTTCCCAGTTCAGGTCACCGAGCACTCCACACCCTCGCGTCTGCTGCCTTAAGTAAGGTAAGCAGCAGCAAGATCGGGACAACCGAAGCCAAGAAACTTTAAGCCGAGATACTCTTGGTCGTCCTTGACCATGGATCCATCCCAGTTAGGACCCAAGGGCATCAGGCCCTCGGCAGGCAACGGGTCGGAGCCTGCTTCCGGCCAGGCATTCGCAGCACGGATGACACCGATGCTTTCCCGGATCGCTGTCCACAAATGTTGGTCGTCCTGAAGCTGCTCCGTGTCGTCGGCCTTGGTCTTGGCCAGCTTCTTCGCTGGCTTGCCACCACCAGAGGTACGTGGTTTGCCCATATTGATCCAAAGTGCCCTTTAAAGGCACTGACCCTCAAAACGTGGCGAAGCAAAAAATGCTGCGAGTCACAGAGCAAGTGTTAATGAGACGGAGCTGCGAAAGATTGGAGCCTCAACAGAAAGGCTGAGCAGGCTTGCTTTCACTCTTGCACCCCGACATCCTTCCCCAGCCAGCTGAGACACTTGGTCAGGACACGAAAGAAGTCTTTGATGGACACTAATGTTCCGGCCACGCCCTTCTTGACGAGCTTTTTCCGAGTGGCCTCCTGCACCTGAGGCACGACGAGGAAGGCACGCTTCCGGTTCCTTGGCTGGTTTGATTGCCAAAAGACTTTTTTCCATAGCTCGGCGTAGGACACAGGAGTTCATCCACATACCCCCCGCTCCGACAGCGGCGCAGGGCACGCTCGTCCGGCAACGGGGTCTCCAGACATACCCCCTACCAAGACGAAGAAACGACAAAGCAGGGATGTGACCAGGACCATTTTTGGACCATTGCTTCCCATCTTGACCCTGACATTCCACGTCAATCCATCCTGAACCAACAGGACTCCCAGCTCCCAAATTCTGAGAGAGCCCCTTGTCGCTGGAAGGGGTCCCCCAATGAGCCCCATCCTAGGACGACAGTGCAGGGCACGCTCGTCGGGCCAGGGGGTCCCCCAGCAGACTCCTTTGACAGACACCAAATGGCCGACACAACGGCGACAACACTTTTTCTGAACTTCTTGCCGCCAGAACACAGAAGCGTTCTCTTCTCTCTCATCATCCACCGCACGTTGGGGGCTAGGATGCTCTCGGTCAAGGCATTCTGCAGATGAACCACGATGCCCTTCAGCTTCTCGTGAACCTTGTCCGACATATAGAACTGGATGTTCTGTTCATAGGCCGGGAGCAGCCGCAAGATGGGGGCCGGCGGCTCGTGCGGCCGTTTCGCCGCATGGTTAACCCACTGTTCCGTCCCCACGAACCCGCCCAAGACGCGGATTGCGAGGCTGATGCATCCCTCCTTCATGTCGTCATCCTCTGGCACTGACGGATGGATGGTCCGGAGGAAACTATCACTATCACAGCAGATGTAGACGAAGTGATTTGGGCCGACCTTGGCAAGCAGCTTCTCCTCGGAGATATAGTTCAGGAAGTCAGAGCCACCATAAACAGAGCCACAGACCCCAAGGCGAAGCAATTGCTTTTTGACACGGGTCTTCGCCTCCTTGCAGCCACCAAGAACGACGAAAGCACAAAAGCCAGGAGGCAGGGTAACATGCTGCTCCTGCAAATGCCTTTGCTCCAGCCGGCCCAACTTCTCCTTGTTCTCAAGATGTTCCTTCTCGTGCTGCTTGAGCTTCTGGGCCGTCCCACAGAGGGGCCCAGACGTGAAGTCCCGCCAAAGGTCTGCCTGCAGCTTCTTCACAGCTTCCCGGAGGTCGACCTGAGTTTGGGTCTGCCTCGTCTTTGCACTGCATTTCGCAATAGCATCCAGGGCTTCCAAATTCAAAGTCTCCTCTCCTGTCTGGGATCCGGCAGCCTCAAGCTCAGCCTGCCGCCGCCTCTCAAAGGCATTCAATCCAGTTTTCCGCTTGCTGGAAACAAACTGCCTACTTGGCAATCGAGTCTTCTTCGTGTTGGCACCACTGCCCCCATGAATCTCTTTGTACTTTGTAATGATCTTGTAATACAGGGGACGGGGCTGCCTGCTCAAGGGCCAGCGTGAGGCGAGAGCAGCGGGCAACATTGGCGACGGCAGAGGTTTGGGCAGGCTCTGCACCTTCTTTTGTGCTTCCCCGATCGTACTCGTGCACGAACCGGCTTGCCATCGTCAGCCACTCGGTGGCGAGGGCAAGAAGTCGAATGCTGGAGGGCGACAACACCTAGGAGACAGTCTGAGAGCGGCGGCAACCAGCTGGCAAGGACGGCACTGTTTAGTTGTGTCCGAGGGGCTGCGAGCAAAGTCTCAGCCCACTTGCTTTTCTCATTATTCAGGGCTGCAAGCTGTGTCAAGAAGAGGACCACCGCCGGCAAAGATAGAATCAGTTTCTTCAGTGCAACAGTTATCGTGTCGAATCTCTGGGCTGCAAAGTGACAAGAAAAATCTTGCCCCAATACTTCGGCCACTCCCTCCAACTGGCTTCGCACTGCCTCCGAATACTTGGAACATAGTTTGTGAGAGTGTGCCAAAGCCCTCCAAAAGCTCCCTGGGTCGTGCTTGCTTTTCGTGGAGTAACGAAGAACAAAGAGCTCGATGAGCTGATTCAATCGACTGTCGGATTTGATGCTCTTTTCGAGCGACCTCTGAGCGCTGTGCATGCAGCACCTCGTTGTCGTACACAAGCAAGGCATGATTCCTCTGGCCTCGCGGGAAAACCACGGAGCAGGTACACCGAGTAAGTTAAAGCAACCGAGACCCCTGCGGCCGCAAACCGCCCGGCCAGTCCCTCTGCCCTTTCGCCGTCCACCGTGTAGACCTGTGGCACATTGGGCGGGCGTCTGATAGCATCTGAAGCGGGG